CTGGGTCAGCAGCCTGGTCCTGTCCCAGGTCCAAGCCTTATCAACTGCTCTGAGAAGTGCTCCCTCTCAGGGACAATGGGTCCTGGGCAAATACAGTCACGTATGGGGATGCCTCCAGTGGGGACAAGATGACTGACTCTGGATCAGTCATGTAGTCTTCCAGGGTGGAGGATAGACTTTGCAGTCGCTGCTGCCATGATGTTGACAGTGCTGGGGAGTTGGCCAGCTGCTGAAGCCTGGTGTCAGTCTGGTACCAGGGCCTGATGCTGATCTGCCATCAAGGCCTGGTGTTGACTAGTGCCCAAGGGATAGCATTGGCTGGATGCCAAGGGTGGTGGCTGGTAGATGACCAGCCTTTACAATGACTGGCATAGTGTCGTGCCTAAAGCACCGACAGAGGCAGCACCTCACAAGGAGGTCTTGTGCTTGGGACCCTGTACCCAAATGCTAACCCCACAACCTAGCTTGGGGGTGGCTGAGCAGACAGCTGCACCTCACCCTGACTCCATGCCCATTGTGCAAACACCCGAGCCCACATCAAAGCAAGAGAGCCCCAAGGGAAAAGGCACTACGAGTTCTGCCAGAAAGAGTTAGAGCAGACTGTCCCTCCCCCTACTGATGCTGAACTTCCTGAGCACGACACAGAAGACGAAGGGGGCGTGATAGACTTTTTCCTAGCAACCAATCGCAGAGCTCTGAGGAGGTGGGAACAAAGACAAAGCCTTGTTACGTCAGAGGCGGGGCCAGGAGAGCTAGTCCCACGTGGGCTCGGGGAGAGATGCCACTAAAGGATTAGCATCTGTATTGCAAAGAGCTTATCTATGGAGTTGTAAATCTTGTAGACAAGTAGCAATAAAGGACTTTAGTTTTATTGCTCATGAACTTGTGGGTTGTTTACATATTGAGTGGCACCTCAACAGATCGAGGGTTGGTGTCAGCTTGGCACAGGAAACCGGTCTCAATGTTGGCAGCACTTTGTTTTAGCAAAGAAGGGAGAAAAACAAGAGAGAAAAATGCTATATACTCAAGTGGGAGAGACAGAAGCAATTCCTGATCTAGGTGTGATGGTGGTCAAAAAGGAACTGAGGGGATAGGTAGAAATCTCTCTCCATCCTACCCAGGAACAGGAGGGGAAAGGCCTCCACCCAGTGAACACTTAGCTATAGAAGAAAGGCTCTGTGCAGGAATAAAGTGATGCACAGAGACCACAAAGAACTTTGTGGATTTGAAGAATTATTCAGACATGTAAAGTACTATAGGAACTCTGGCATAACAAACCATAATGTTCGATCTTTTCATTTAAAGTAAATGTTGAGATCAGCAAGTTTTAAAAAGTTGTAAACCTATCACAGTTTCCAAGGTGCTGCAAAGACCCAAGAAAGAGACCATCACTCAATGGCATAGCAAACATTTTGCATGCAGAAGATCTCTGGCTCACTCTGGCACCTCTAGTTAAAAAGATCAAACAGCAGGTGACAGAAAAGACCTGTGCCTGAGACTCCTAACAGTTAGTGCCAGTTAGAGTAGGCAAAAGTGGGCTGTAAAACCAAGTAGTCTTGCTTGGTATAAAGGTGGCTTTTTATGCCTCTTGGATGTATGAGTGCTGATAGTGGGAAGGAAATAGATAAATTAATAGATAAATTAGTATTTTAAATCACAATGAATGAACATTCCCCGTTCATAAAACAGTGAGCAGCCTTATGATTAATGCTCAAAAGCCACAGAATTACTAACTTTAAAAAAATTTGAATCTCTTCTCCATCAAGTTGTTGATCCCAATATGCTGATTAAGAAAACAGGCTCAGGGCATATTCTGAGGTAATTTCACAAAGAAAACTTTTTTCAATTTTAAAACAGCTGGACATTTTACAAACACAGAAGGGATACACACATAGGAATGGATTTAGCCAATGCACAGCAACTTTGGTAAAGTCAAGTGCTTATATACATTAAAAGATAAATGTTCATAAAGATGTTGTTCTAAAACCTCCCCTATGGTATATGTAGATAAAGACAAAAATAAACTTATCTTTTTAAAGAAAAACAGTAGAAAAATATATTAAATACAAATTTCTCCAAAGCAAAGATTTAAGGGAATATTACATATGCAAACTTAAGTCACTATAATGCTTTACATTCAACTATAGTCAGCTAACCTTTGGAAATTAATAATGAATCAACTCTGCTTGCGTAACTTGTGCTTTTTAAAAGCATTCTACAACAAACAGTTTACAAAAGGGTTGCTACATTAACAAATGTAAAAGGAAGAGAATGCTATTTCAGTTAAAACACTATGTTTAAAATATTGTATATTAACAAAGTTCAGGACCAAAACCCTAAAGCCCAATTGAATACATTGGACTTGCTTCTGAGTAAACATGCATAGGATTGCCCTGTAACAGTACCATCTTACACATGCCTACTCAAAACCAATTTCCACTCTGCTTGCTGAGCTCTCATCTAATTATTTGTGCATATGTTAGCAGGCTCAATAAAACAGTGTCAGAATCAGGAGGCTCAATACAAAACCATACCATTAAACTAGTGTTAAGAGGAGCAATGCCACTGAAATTCAGAAGTAGGCCAAGTCAGATCTGGTATGTTCACAAATCCTGAATGTATGACAAGCCATGACTACTATCCAGTAGGCTTTTCTTTCACTGTTCAAACCAAGCTAATGTTCATCTTCTGCACCCATCTAGCATGGTCTGTGTGGTCATGTGGGGAGCTTTTCAGTAAACTTACAGTTATACAAAGTGGTCCAAGGGCTTTCTAACCATTTTCCAAAATTTTAAAGCTAAAATCTTCTCAGAATGGCTGGGAAATGTGGCTCCAATCAAATGATTTCAAAATGCTCAAATGAATTTGTTAAAAAAAAGAAAAAACCCTCAGTGCTGCCCCAAAGTCCTGGGGCTGTTTACAAAAAAATATAGGTGAAGAGAATCATGCTGTAGGTATGCAAAGCTATGCATGGTACAGAAAAAGTGGGTAAAGAGACATTTTCCTTCTCTCATAATACTAGAACTCAGGGTCATCCCATGAAGTTGGTTGCTGAGACTAAGGACAAATAAAAGCACATCTTCATGAAGCACACACTATGGAATCTGCTACTATAAGATGTACTGGTGGCCATCAATTTGCATGGCTTGAAAAGAGGATTAGACAAATTCAGGGAGGATAAGGCTATCATCAGCTATTAAAGCTGATGGACATACACTACTTCCAGTATGCCTACACTATCATATGTACACTACCTGATGAGGAACATGGACAGGAGCATGGTATGGCACTCATGTCCTATTTGTGGCTTTCCACATGCAGCTGGTTGGCCATCATGTCAACAGAATGCTGGACTAGATGGACCTTTAGTCTAATCCTTATGGTTCACGGAAGAGGGACACATGTAACAATACTTCTTAGGCCATGAGCTCACAGTACAATAAATAAGACATCATGAGGATGAAGTGTTTGCTTAGGTCTTCTTTGCAAGGGCTCCTTTCATGTTCATATAACACTGCTCCTTGCTGCCCCATACCCCAACCATTGCTCACAATGCATCAGAAGACAACCCTGGATTTTGGGAGCAGTTTGTCACCTAACACTGAGGATTCCTTTTGAAAGTTTTCCTATGTGGTATAACTGTTCACAGGGAAAGCTGTTTCAAATCCCAACCATCACTCCCACCACTATCCTAACTGGATGCTGGAGTGGCCTGAAGATCTGACACAACCTTCTCATCTTTTCCTGGCTTCCCAGGAAGAAGAAAGAATTGCAGGCAAAACAAAGGATAGTCTCTTGCCTGACAGAATAAATCACATCAGGCAACTTTGCACAATGGATTCACAATGCCAGACGGATAGTGTACTCCATTGATCCTCCAGCATGCATGCCACAGGGCACAATGAGAGCGCTTAGGCTTCCCTCTTCCTCTCTCTCACTTGTCACCAGGGACAGGGATAGGGGAAACAGGGATCACTTGACAGCAAGTAAGACCTCACAAGCCATGTTGAGGGCTGTTGGTGCTTCTGCCAAGATAAGCAGCAGCACTGCTAAGGTTCCCTGACGCAGTGGCACAGCTGCTTTAAAGAGGCACTGGTCAGGGGAGCTGAGCCACACTCTTCTCAGCATGCTTGAAAGTACACTGAGCAGAGTGCAACTTCATTCCTCTTTTTCAAAGTTTCTGCAATCCTGATAGTAGACAGTAGCATAATTGTAAGCAGTGGCATATGGCAATGTTAATGCATCATTAACATAACTGTATGTTTGGTGTCTTGGAATACAGCAACTTCTGGTGCCTCACATTCCTGGCATGCATGGTTTAATGTATCACTCATTCTTAAATTCATAACTCTAATAACTGAGAAGTGGATACTGCTTTAATTGCATAGTAAGATAAGCAAATATTTAAAAAGTCATTTTTGCATAGTATGAAACAAGGCTGTAGCTACAATCTATTCATTGAAAAGAAGAGCCAGTTACCAATGGGTACTATCAAATGGCCAATGGGTACTATCAAATTTGTGCAAGCAAGCTTCCATGTGCACAATGGGGCATCTCTTTCCTCTCTTCCCACGCCCCCCTCCCCACCTAAACCAGCTCTGAGGGTGTCCCCATCCCTGAAGAACCAATTTTGGGAGTATACAGGAGGCTACAAGCAGGGAGGGGAAATGTGTTCTGCCGGCTTCTGTCCATTATGTTAGTGGATTAACACTGTTGAGTTTCACTGATTGTCTTTCTTTATTTGAACTGTAGCAGCTGAATAGTAGTAGTCAATATGGCTTTTACTGTCTATAAAGGCACAATGCATCCTTAAAAAGAAGTATAAATATTTCAGTGTACATCCCTACAAACACATTAAGACTCATTTCGCCCAAACACAGAAAAGGCAATTATGCCAAAACTGGTAAGCATAAGTTTTAAAAAATGTATTTTAAAGATTCTGTGGAAGAAAAAAAGCAACATGAATTAAGTTTTCTGTTTCGAGAGCAGCAGAAAACCCTGTATTTGATGACTGCATTATATCAAAATTAAATTAACATCTGGGTTGTTGTTGGAGTGAATGGTTTTAAGGTACATGTGTTTGTAGAGCACACAGTGTTATCCTGTTTTATGTTTTTAAAAGCATAAGTGTAATATAATATTAGAACAATGGTACTCTTCATGATCCAGTCAAATTGCAGCTTGCATGAACTGAGCACAAGTGAGTCCAACATGTGGAGGCGGAAGTCCCCTACTTTGCAGGGAAAAGTTCTCAGTGCTCACAAAGAACACTGTCTACCAGAGTTGGAATCCTACTATGGTTCCTAGATCAATGCCAGTATAACTAAAAGTGCAACAGCCAAATCATGTGTTGCACAAAATTGGGAGGTGAAGTGTGATTCTTCGCCCAATTCCAGTATAAAGTGGAACTTTTGGATCTCTCCCAAGAAAGGAACCCTATATAATTCCAGAACTGAAAAATCCCACTGTAGGAGATTAAAAATTTTGCTTTGAGTTATGTTTTCAAGTTCCAACAGAACTGAAAACATATAAACTCAGTGTGCTTCTTCCTTCTTCAATCTTATATAATATGTGAACAATGGCTCTAAACCATCACCTTAAAATATATATGACAGGGCTGCATGGCATTTAAAAAATCGCTAGGATCAAAAGAGCTCCTTTAGGTTTGCCTAAAGGCTTAGACATGCCTACCAGATTTTGTTTTATATTTTTACTTTGAACAATAGGTCCCCATACCATATTAAATAATTAATCTTGAAAGTCTTGTCAGTTTCAGAACAAGTTTGTTATATTGCAGTGGGCAGAGCAAGGAAGCTAAAGATAAACAAGCATCCTTGGGTGCACAAAATTATTTTCACAGTTGTTTGGATCTAGGCCCACATAAAAAACCAGTGAGTCATGGTAGCTACTACTCATATAAGGAAAGCTGATTGTAGAGAAAACAGATACATGAAATAATATATTATTTTAAACAATAAATAATATTTGAGAGTATTGTTCTATTTCAGGAATGAAATAGTAATCAACTTGTTATATTTCATTTTCAGTACTTTTTCTGGAGCTTTGATACCACTTCTGAATAACAGTTCCAGAACTACTAGCTACTACGCAAAGAGCACCTCCTACTGTCCACCATGTTGGGAAATCATTGAGAAAAAGAATTTGAAAAATAAAAGCGAACACCACATCCATTGTTTTCATTATAGCTACTGGGCCTGCTTTTTCTATTTGTAATGCTTTTGTAAGTAATATTTGACCCCCTAGCCCCAACAGTCCTATTAATATTAGCAGAAATCTATCTGTGCCACAGTTGGGTAAACTCCACCCACCCATTACACAAAGTGCTATTACACATACTATTAACCCAATGGCTGCATAATACCAAATGGACAAAAAGTAATGCACTGATTTCCCCACCTTTCTTAGTATAACAAAAGTTGAAGCAGCAGCAACTGCACTTGCAACAGCTGCTATTGTCCCATTAAGATGATCTGTGTAGCTTCTTTCAATTCCAGTAACATTGGATCCAAACAGAAAAGGTGGTCTTGCAATAAGCACCACTCCAGTGATTGTAAACATGGTGAAAAGGAGATCCCAACAAGTATATTTCTCCTTGAGAAATATCCAGGCAAATAGTGATGTAAAAACTGGACTGCTGAAAGTAATGACTGTAGCATCAGCAAGAGGCATCACTTGAAAAGCATAATAAAGAAGGATCATTGCCCCAGAGCCAAGCAATCCTCGGAAGAAAAGAAATATTCGTTTGTCTTTTGGTCCCAGAAACCCTGTTCTAAAATGAAACAGACAGACATCTTACTGATTTCATAGCCTGAAGATTTCAAAAGCATGCATCCACATAAATAACTTCAAGTACTGAATCTGAAAGTACAGTTTGTTCAAATGAACTATGGGTGTTCTAACAATTGTCAGAATGACACTAATGAAACTCTTGCATGCAGATTCTCCTGATAGTCAGAACCCTTAGGATCAAAGTAATACAGCATGCTTTGTTTCCTATCTTAGTAAAAAAATAACATTAAATAAAGGGACAAAATTAAATCATTTGAAAATTTAGTGCTGAGCATGCAACTGAGAGGAGCTAACATGGAGGCTCCATTTATTCAAAGCAGTGCCACTGGATGAGAGTTGTGCAAATCATTGCTATTGTTTGCAAAACACAACTCACCCTTTTCTTCGGACTTCTATAATTGTATGCAGCTCTCATCTGCTGGTGCGGAGTGCCTTGCAATTGCATGCTCAGTGGCAGTTCCATGTACTGCTGAGATGCTTTCATGGAGAACATGGGCTAGGGTTGAATGGCTATATATTAAGTAATATAACAAGATACTCCTCAGGTCTTTGTTGCAGAAGAACTATATAAGGGTAGCACTGGCAAGCAGGAGAGGAGGGCTGAGATTTCCCCCTAATACATACTTCATTTCTGCCTCCCTTGTCTTTCAAGTTACTGCTCTGCAGCCATTTCTTCTGGTGAGGAAGCCCCAGCCAAGACCAAAATGGCTATATTTAAGTGATGAAGAATAAGTGAGAAGAGCATACCTGGGGGATAGGTTCAGGTCTCTGCTCCTGCCTCCTTTTGAATCTCCCTTTCAGTTCCCATATTAACAGCAAACTGGTTGTACACAGACGTTTCACTCCAAATTCATAAAAGTCTGTCATACATTCTGTACCAGTTTAAAATGTTATAAAGATGTTATTTACTGCAAAAGGCAGAAAGTCACAGGGTTCTTTGTTTTTAACTATTTACCTGTTCCCATCTAACTGCACTTCTATATTTTAAACTAATTTCTTATAAACCAAAGAACATTTTTTTCTTTCCCTTCCCACAGAAAGAGGAGGCATAATACTCACTTGTAGTATATTAATCCAGGAAGAACAAATGCCATTTGAAAAACACATCTAAAGGCACTAACTTCCACTGAATGTATATCTTCAATTTTCTTTAAAAATAAAGAAGCCACGGAGAAGAGAAAGGCAGACAACAGGGTATAGAAAAGGCCAAGTCCTGGACAGGTAGTTTTCTTCTTTATTCCTGGAACAGAATGATTGTTATTTCCAGTTAGCAATTAATGCTTTAGATACAAAGATGTATTTTAAAATATTCACATGCATGTTTACGGTTTGATTAACTTTGAGAAGGAAACAAACAAAAGGGATAATTAGTCGTTGTTGAGCATACATGGGTATTTTGAAAAATAACAATTGTAGCTCTTAAAATGCCTTCATTTACTCTTTTTTTAAAAAAAATACATGGTACATCCAGTAGTTTCACAAACTGGGCTATGTCTGTAATTCCTTGTGCATGTTGTAATAGAAGCACACTTGGAGAAACTCCCACATTCATTATAGAGTCCAAATAACTTTTTGATATTTTTTCTGACAAGAGCTCACCTCCTTGAGATGACATAAGGCATGTAGCACCTCCAGCAATGAAATAAGCTCAGAAGTCCCTAGAATTCTGTACACTGCAGCCACTGTACTGGGCAGCTATGACAACATTAGGAAAACAGCTTCTTGCCCCGCTTCTTGGCCCAAGATCAGCCTGTGAACATCATATACAACCAGTGATCTAAACCCAGACCTTATTTGTACAAGTCCAGTGCTTTGTTCACTACAGATACCACACTGGCATCCTGCTGCAGTAATCTTCAACTGAAAACCATCTACTTCATGTGTTCTTTTTTTCTGACATCAGTATTAGCACCTATATAGGAAGAAAACCCATGTACAATTACTTGACTGTTTATGCTGCGAGTAGGCGGGTACCTCAGGCTTATAGGTTCTCTACTCCTCTTTTTTCACAGTGGCATGGAGATTGGAAAATCACATCTTCTTATTAATTAATCACAGTTTATTGTAGCATAAAAAGGACAGACTGTAATTAGTTTAAGCTAGTTTATTTACAAGCCAGGGTTAAAATGGCTTGATCTTGGATTTTATAAAATCACAATTCGTACTTTTCAGCACAACAATTATCTCTGCATGGTTATACTGAAGGAGAGGAGGGAAGGAAAGATTGTGTAGCAGTTTAAATCACATTCACACAGTACTATGTTATGGTTTAGTGCTGCGTCTGAAATGTGCCACACTCCTCAACAGATGTAAGGAAAATTCACATAAATACTGATACACTGATTAGTACTGAGAAAAACAAACAAACTCATGCAATATTTTTAGTAATATTTTACACTCAAATGTATAAAATGCAAAATATTTCCTGTTACAAGATTAATTACATAGCATACATGTCGTATGTATTAGGAAATACGCTGTGTATTATAAATTTAATTGTACATTTTCAGTGGAAATATAAGGTTTTTTGATCTATCTAAACTGAATCAAGACAACCCATCAAATATGGTTATCACTACTTGTGACATAAGGTTTATAGCAAGAGTCTCTATTATTTTACAGTGGATTAAATCAAGCAAGTTATGCTGATATGTTAAGACTTTATTTTTCCTATACAATATGCATAAATCCCTAGGAACATGAGGGTACAGTGCCATCACAATTTCTCTTATTTGTATTCAGTACAAACATATTTTTAAACCTTGATTTCTATAACTCTTATCCATGTGAAAATAATCTAGAATTATTATAAATGCAATAGATGCTATGGACTCTTGGAGAAGAGTCTTGGGTACTACTGGTTGCTAGGCAACTTTGAATCACAATCTGAAAGTTGAGAATCACTGTTTTCTAACATTTGAAAGCTGTGAATCCAAGGTGCAGAATATATAGACATATTTTTGTGAGCTTGGTCCCAGAAGATCAGCTGCTAAAATCAGCTTTGAAGTAGCGATAAACACTGAATTTTGAGAGGGCCTGAATCTTGTATCAGTGGAGATACGGAGGTGGTTTAAATTAATGAGGAAATGTGCTTGATATGAGGAATCAGGCATAACTACAGTCAACTAGATAGTGCATATTCATTTCAATTATACCTTAATTAACTGCTTTTCTATATTTCATTTATTACATTTCCAAAAGCCAAAGCTTTCTGAGCAATTCATAAAATTAAGTCCCAGAACTCCACTGACTTGAATGTTACTTACACTTATATTAAAACAAGGGCTAAGAAATTAAGTACACTATCAAGAAAAATGAAAAGAAGGGGTCTAACTGGGTTGGTCCAGGGAGTGGTGTACACATATTTGCATGAAGTAGTGGTTCCTACTGTCATCAAGCAGACAGCAGTACAACCACTCCTGCAAATCTCCACTTTGGATGCAATAGCACTGGATTATTGTCCAAGAGCAAATATCTCCTTTAGGGAAGGTACTTGAGAGGTGTCAGGATCCGGGTACCTTCAGGGCTTCTCCTGCTGGCCAAAAACCAGAATAACAGCCCTGGTAGTTGCAGGATTGGTCCCAGACTCTGCTGCAGCTGTCAGGACCTTCATGGGTACCACCTGGGAGGCCTGAAGGACGAGCTATCAAGAAAGTGGCTCTTACCTCCTGAAGCTGCCTTAGCAACACTAGAAGTTAGTGTGCTGAGGCTGATTGTGATGTTTGGATCCTGTCTGCTCCTGTTCCTATACCTGTTCTTGCCCAGGTATTCCTGTCCTTGTGCTATTTTCTTGGCTCCTGACCTCTGGCTTGTTTTGACTATGTTTTTTCTATTTGGACTATGTTTTCTTTGCTTCCCTGTGCTTTCCTGGTTTTGTCCTTAGCTTGCTCTGAACAACAACATGGGTTTGACTGTGTTATTTGGGTTCCAGTGCCTCTAGTTTCCCATCAACCACACCCCAGACCAGTAATGACGAAGCTTTTAGAGACCAAGTGCCCAAACTGCAACCCAAAACCCATTTATTTATCGCAAAGTGCCAACACTACAATAAAACCTGAAAACTGAGGTTTTAGTTTAGAAAAAAAAATTCACAGCCTGTCCAAGCAAATATATATATATCCTTGGCAGCGCACGGACCGGCCATATGAAAGTTCGGACAAGTCGCGGCTAATGAGTCATGGCTCATGTTGTCATTGCCTGGCGCCGCTACTTCTTTCCGAGCATGCACATGGCCCCTATGTGCAGTGTCATCAGATGCTTGGCTGCTGGGGCAACTTTGATCACATGCCGATAGAGAGGGCTTTGCATGTCTGCTGTGGCACGCGTGACATAGGTTCACCACCACTGGCCTGACCCTACCCTGTTGCACACCCCTAACTTCATTATAGGGTTAAAATTCCATTGACTATAGCGCAGTCTGAGAGACTTCCGGTTGGTGTCGTGGCGAGATGGCTGTGAGGAGCGGGGGCTCCCATTATCACACTGGTAATTGTTCGACAGTGAGCTGGGAGAGGCTCATCCAAGTCCTGTTGGGGTAGGGGTTAAAAATCCGAGCATTCTTCTGGGCAATGTGGGGCAGCAAAAAGATATAGCACAGAATAACAGCTTGAAGTTCATCGGATCTGCTGGGTGAGCATTTCTACCTTTTCAATACTACCCGTGAAAGAACTGAAGTGGGTATTAGTTGGGACAAAGAAGAAAGAAAAGCCCTTTTGACAGAAGGAGGAATTTTCCCTCCCCCCATGGAGTTTAACCCACAATTAATCTAGGGGAGAGGAACTGAGGCTTTTTTGAAAGTATGAGGTTGGAAAGAAAGATTTCCTTTTTCTAACCTCCCCAAAGGCGAAGAATCAGAATAAAAAACTATTGTGGATTAAGTGATAGAAGGACAAATCTTTTCTTTCTTGCTGATTGGACATTTTTGTCTCAGTTCTTCTTTAAACAATTTTTGTGAAGTCATATAAAGACAAAATAACCCTTTGCTGCCATCCTGTGGCTATTGGACTTATAAAAAGTCTCCTTCCTCTTTTTTTTTCTTTTTTCTCTTTTTTTGTTGTTGCCTTGTAATTTCTGGCAAAAAAATACTATCATCATGAAAAAAATACATTTTTCCTCCTCTTCGGCACCTGCATCAGCTGCTCAGAGTCCAACTCAGTCTAAAGCGGCAGATGCCAAAAAATATCAAAAAGAGCTACAAATGACTCTCCTGGCGATACAAACATCTTTAACAGCTATGCAAGCATCCCAAGAGGCTATGCAAAATGCTATATCGAAATTAAGTTTAGAACAGAGGGGTATCTTGACAGAACAGAGAAACATGTCAACATGGCAGGGAAACATGTCAACTGAGCAAAAAAACTTCGTAAATGAACAAAGAGAACATCTTGACAAACTGCATAACTCTGTTAAGGAGGTATCAACTCAATTGGCAGATGTTTGACTTAAAACTGAACACAATACACAAAAAATACAACAAGCGCATGAAAAACTTGAAATGGTAGATAAAGAAACACAATTAATAAAGCAAACAAACAAGTCACTATGGGATTCGCTTGCCATATTAGAGATAGAGAAGGCATCTAACTATCTGAGATTTCAGAATATACCCGAAGGAAAGAATGAGGATCTACGGGATTTAATGATTAACATGTTGGCAGAGTCGTTAGAGCTGGAAAATGAAGAGGTGAGCACAAGAATTGATCTTGTTTATAGAGTGAATTCAATTTATGCCAGGAAACATAAACTTTCGAGGGAAGTTCATATTAAATTTGCTCAAAGGTCTATAAGAAACAATGTTTTGAGGGTCATACATGATAAACCTTTAAAGGTGGATGATCATCATGAGGTGACTGTTCTGAAACAAATACCATGGAGGATTAGAGAAGGACGAAAGAAATACCTATTCCTTACTACAAAGTTGACTAAGAAAGAGATCATGTTTAGGTGGCTAACGCCAGAAGGAATATTTTTCACCTGGAACTCTACAAGATACAAACTGGACTCAATCTTTAAGGCAAAAGAGTTTTATGAAAAATTCAGAAGTACATTTGAAGAGGAAGAATCGGGTGCCCCAAAAGAAGGAGGGAAAGGTGCTGAACCAATGTAACTAACAATGTATCACTCTGAAGAAGGAGAAATAGTGAATACAGACTCACAACAAGAGGTACAGACACTGGAACCAAAGGAAAAGAAAAAAGGTAGAAGTGTAAAGGCGAAGTATAAGTAGATAAATGTATACTC